GAGCATCATTCTTCCCCTGGGCCCAGCTTTAAAACAGGGAGGAGGTGCCTTTCGCCACTTCCCCCGCGGGAGTTCCTGAGACCTGCTCCTTGCAGGCTCCTGCTTGCCCCACGCCTGCAGAGCCCGTTGGGCATCTGACCCCCCACCCGAGCAAATGAGGGGTTTGTTTGCTCCCCGCCAGCTGCTGGGCAGGGGTGTGCCGCCTGCGGGGAAGCGAACCCTTGGCCGCGTGTTTGCACGAAGCTCTGAACAGAGGCGACGTGCTCTGCTTGGAGAAGGGTATTTTTAAATCCGCTCCAGACCCTTGCCAGCCAGCTGTTCTGCAAGCGAGGGGAAGGCCGTTGCCCAAGCTGTGCGCTCGCGGAGGCAGCGTACCCAGCAAGTCGGAGATAAAGGGGCTCTGTTCATGAGCTGAGCGCTTCATGGCCCCAGAGGCGCGGTCCTGTCTTCTCGGTGTCCTCGGGAGAAGGAACTCCATGCGTCAGCAGGCTGGGAGCTCTCCCCAGCAGAGCTGCGTCGGGCAGTCGGGTGGGTTTTTAACTATTTGGAGCTGGGCTATGGCGCCGTGACTGGGCCAGTGCCTGTCATGCAGCCCAGAGACTTTGTTCCTGCCTGGCACCTTGGTGGTGAGGTGCCCGCTGTGCCCAGCAGCTTGTGAAACCTCACCCCGACGGTGGTGCCTGCTGGCACGGCCTGACAGCGCTGTCAGGCGTCTGGCCATGGGACAAGGGAGCTTCACTCCCAGACCTGCGCATGGGGCAGAGGCTCACAGCCCCTACAGGCAGCACTAGCGAGAAGGAAACCTGGCACACCGAGGGCAGGAGGAGGCTGAGGTGGCACAGGACACGCACCGAGGGCGGGAGGAGGCTGAGGTGGCAGGGAACACGCACCGAGGGCGGGAGGAGGCTGAGGTGGCAGGGGACACGCACCTGAGCCATCCCTCATGTGCAGCGCGGCAGGAGGGATCTGACGTCTCAGCGATGGCCAGGGCAGTGCCATGCGTTCCTGGGGCTAAGGCCCAGCAGGGCTGATGAAGAACAAGCACAGGGCTCTCGCGGCAGCGGTGAGTGACAGCGTTCAGCTGCACGACGCAAGGCAGAACGCTGTCTCAAGCGTGTGCTGGGACACCCAGCCGATGCTAATCTGATAGCTGCGGGTGTTGGGCGAGGGGAGCCCCCTCCCCGCTGCGGCACGGCCTGCTGCTGCGCCATAGGCACAGGCTTTCCCCGTGCTCCTGCCACTCGTGCTGTGACACAGCCTGAGGCGGGAAAGGTGGTTTTTACTGCGGCTCTGCAAAGCCACTCACAGCCCACGCCACGGGAAAGGGCTTGCTTGTTTGATTGCTCCTCCTCTCCTTCAGCGTGGGCTGGGGTGGCAGCACCGTTAGCTCCTTCTCTTGGCCAGGCCACAGCGGGTCTCGCTCGGGCTCCAGCAGCGAAGGCCCTGAGGAGGCTGCATCCATCACCGAACATCAGGGCGGGCTGGGTGTCTCCTGCTCAGACCCGGGAGCACTGCAGCCCGGCAGAATCTCTGCCACTTCTGGCCCATCAGCTGAAGAGCTATGGAGCGGGCTTTCATCACTTGTCAGTAAATGCAACGAATCCTTATGGTCTACACAGCCCTCCGGTGTTGGATGCTATTCAGCCGCAGGCTGTGTGTACAAGTCCAGTGCTCTGGGCAAATGCAGAGTGAGCTCCACGCAAGGAAAGGGGCAGGTGCCAAAATGCAAGTCTGAAAATGGTGGAAGGCCATGGAAACCTGTATTTTTATGCAAGAGCGCTTAGACAAGAAGGAGAGTTAGGTACCATTCCCTTTCACGTTGCAGAGATCAAACCCATATCCCCCTGCCCCGTAACGGCCTGCCCCGCCAGGCATAAGGCATTCTGCAGGAAGGGGCTTCCAGCCAAAATGTCAAAGAGCTTCTACTTCAGACAGCGAAACGAAGCATTTGCTGGCCCAGAGAAAAAGGCTCCCTACCGACCAAGCATCACTGCACCCTTTGGAAAGAGGCCTGGGTTCTCTTAGCCCTGCTCCAGTTTCACGGACAAAGCAAAGCAGGCGCTGGAGGACAAATGGGATCCAGATCTCCGCTCCTGCATGCGCGTGCTTTTATCATGAGATTACAAGGTCCAAGGCATTCTTTCCTTCTCAGCTGATCCCGTCCCCGGAGCACGCAGATTAAGAGGCTCAAGCGGTCTTAACGCCCACATTTCTTGAAGGCCGGAGCCCTGCATCCTCCCCCCGGGTTCACACCTGCTCGTGCACATGCCATTACAGCCTCTAATCAGATTTTTCTTAGTAGCACAAGCTGCCCAAATCCCAGGACACAAGCTTACGGTTCAAAGATTCCTGGCACTCCGCTGTTATCCCGTAAGGATTTATGTGCAGGATCATCTCTGCACGTTGGCAGAGATTCATTCGTATGACCCAAACCCCCCTGAATGTTGGGTGGGGATTGGAATGGAGAGGCTGCAGCCCAAATGTCCTCCAGCTTCTTTCTCCCTCCAAGACTACAATCTTCTTCCCTGTCCTGACTCTGATGAACTGTGTCCCACAGTCACACAGCTTCCCCCCGGGATACTAACTCCGGAGAAATGGTGAGTTCCTGGAAGGAACGGTTGCTTAGGCAGAAGAACCACATTGATTGAGTGCACCAAAGGAAATTGGAAGTTCTGGTGTTATGTCAAAGCTGCGTTAGAAAAGACCTCCTTGTCATTTCATTGTGTCCCCACCTGCTGTGAAATAATACAATAGTGCTCAGCTTCGTCTTCACCATTTCTTCTGCTTTTTCTTCTTTCAAAGAGAGAAGCAGGTTGAGCTGGGGGAAGACTCCCTATTGTGTTGGCAATATTTATCGAAGACTGGCTTCTTGTAGGAGAAGCTGCAAGAGGCCTGGCACATCATTTTACTGTAAGGCCACTCCCTTTCTCTCCTACAGATGTACACACACCCCTTTTTCACAGGCCCTCCTCACCCCTTACTCATCCCTTACTCCCGCTCCCAGCAGACTGCTGGCACTGGAAAAGGCTGCCTTTGCAGGGATGGGGCCCAGCACTCTGCTCTCTCGGGACACAGCTCTGCCCGCGCCAGCACGGGGGCGCGGCTGCAACCTCACTCCTCACGTCACAGTCCTAGGTTTTGGCGTCTGCAGCTGCACTTGGGTGTCCAGAGCGTGCGGACAAGAGCGTCTCACCGCGCCGACCGCCCTCACAGATGCGCCGGGCATGCCGGCACGGGTTACCCTCATGTCGTCCAGGCAGCCCTTCCCCAGCAACACCCCGTTAGGCACTTTTTCCGAGCACGGGCTGGAAGCCCGATGTTCTCATGTGAGTCCAGAGGGAGGCTGAGACCACGGACACACGTCCCTGCACTAATCCAGCGCTGCAGACAGCCCTACCCCTGGGGCTCAGAGCACAGCCAACCACCCGTCGGTTTCAGGCTCCAAATCTCAGAGGATCACACTTCCATAGAATCACAGAACGGTTTGGGTTGGAAGGGACCTTAAAGACCATCTAGTTCCAACCCCCCTGCCATGGGCAGGGACACCTTCCACTAGACCAGGTTGCTCAAAGCCTCATCCAGCCTGGCCTTGAACACTCCCAGGGATGGGGCATCCACAGCTCCTCTGGGCAACCTGTTCCAGTGCCTCATCACCCTCTCCGGGAAGAATTTCTTCCTGATATCCAATCTAAACCTCCCCACTTTCAATTTAAACCCATTACACCCTGTCCTGTCACTACAGGCCCTTGTAAAAAGTCCCCTCCAGCTTCCTTGTAGGCCCAGTCTGGCTATCCAGAAAGGCAAGAGCAAAAAACCAGGTGTAGAAACGAAGGGTGATCAGTAATCATGCCTTTAATAGCTTGTAAATATATAATTTTTTTTTTTTTAAATTCCAGGCAACTAAGATGTACATTTGTTGTGTGTATCTGACATCTGAAAAAACCCACAAGTCCACAATTTGTTCCGTTTCCTCCCTTTTCTAAAGCACATAAATTAAAGTGTCGGTCACCCCAACATACAACAGTTTTAGGAAGGAAAAAGTCTTGTTCTGTTTTTACAGTTCAGTGTCACCTTTTTAACCGAAGCACTAGCTACAGTTTCAGCTAGATACCTATCTTACAACAAATAGGAAAACTCAGAACTTAGGCGTATCCAGAAAAATTCCCGCTCCCTGCTCTCAAACTCCACTTCCTAATAAAGCATCAGAGTAACATTTTCATTTCCTGCTAGAAAACAAAAGACCCCAAAAACTCTTCAAACACACCTGGGGAACACTGTTTGGACCACAGAGCTTATTAAATTTAAAATACTAACAGTGCAACGATTCCCCCTCCTACAGCTTCAGTGCAGAACCTGAATTCACACCGGGATGAACAAGGATGGAACCGGCCAGACCACAAGTAGCCTTTGGTGCCTGGGGCTGCTAAATGCCCTCCCATGCTCGATCTACGTACCCAGTAAATGCTCCCGGCTTTGAGAGCACCTGCAGCTCCCACATGACTCGGGGACCCCAGCTGAGGCCATTTCAGCATCCCCTTGCTGAACTCGGCTCAACCCCGCCTCGCACCGCCCCGATTTGAATCCCAACGGGAAGATGCTGAGGAACATCCTCTCGCTCCGGGGCTCAGCACTTGGCACGATTCAGCCACATAGCTCTGCCCACCACCCAGAATTATTCCCACTGAAACTGGGGACAGGCTTCTTGCTGATTTTAGTAGATGCAGGATGACTTAACTAGCAATCCAGCATGGGCCTTGACAGAGGGGGGTTGCTTTTGCCTTCTTCCCAGCGGGGGGTACATGGGCACAGCGTACCTGGGGCTGCTCCTCGTCAGTCTTCTCGGGAGCTGGTGGGAATAGCCTGTGCTCTGGCACAAGGCGGATCACGCACAGGAAAATGGGAAGCAGGCAGAAACAGCTCATTTGGCTGATGTCTTCATCCATTCCCTAGCACTGAACAGAAAACCTCTGATCTAGGGGAAAAAGACAACTTAAAAGATGAAAGAACACAAAAATAAAGCAAAAACGTGACCTTTCACTGCTTTTTCATCTCCCACTGTTTCGACTGAAGCACCCAGTCTCTAAGCACAGCTAACTCCAGAGACGAACGTACTCTTTCACAGTCGTGTGTGTGTGTGCGCAGCACTAGAATACAGCCACGGCTACAGGTGCAAAGGAACGGCGTTACAGCCCGCAGACCCGCTCTGTGCGCTCACCACGAGCTTGAGCTCGCTCATAAGGTTAAGCAAAGAGGTTTGTTCTTCTTCAGCACAAACGAAAAATCCATCAAACCAGCTTCTATTACAGAGAGATTCTAAACTGACATAAATAATTATAGTCTTGATTAAAAATAATATATTATTCTAGATTTTTGTGGTTTTTAGTTTTCATGTAAAGCCCCCTATACTCTTGACATCTAGGAACAAAGACAAAATAAAAACCAGGCACTTGCTGTGCCTTCTCAAGCACTATTGTGGTGTTTAAGGGACACAGAGGAACTTAACAAATGAGATTAATGCCTACAGTGGAAAACAAGAGGAGTTCTTCACGCCGTTGGCTTTTTCAAGTCTCGGATTTGCTTAATCAGGTAGTTCTTCTCATCAGTGAATTGTTCGTCATCCGTCCTCTCTTTCTGGAAATTGCTCAGAAACTCAATTAGCTTGGGTTGGTTTTTCAACAGGATCTCCACAATAGGCTGTGTTTTGTTTGGACTGGCCACAAAAACCTAGCATGCAAACAAAACCAGGCACAGCGAGACAGAGAGAGAGAGAGAAAGAGAGAGAACATCAGTCACAACACCCCCGTAACTTATTTTCAGGCACTCACTCCGCTGCTCCACACCTTGTCCCGAGGCACAGAGAGAGCAGTGACAAACACGTTGGTTCGACAGCAAACGGCGGCAAAGCCGGCGTGGGGCAGCGCTCTCCTCTGATTTTGCTCCTTGTTGATAAAGGTGTTTGACTGCAAACCCGGCTGTTGGGAGCAGGCTGTCAGCTCTCAGCCTCTTCCACGTGCAGGACTTCAATACACAGAAATTAATTATCAGGAGAATGGAAAGGCTTTGTGTCAGTACTGATATCATTTCCATACTAAACCAGGCCTAAAATTAGACTTGCCAGCTTTGTTTTGGTTTGGAAAAATATGTCAGAGGCTCCACTTCCCTCTGCCTAATCCATTCACAGGAGCATGGAAATTTCCAGCAGGAGTGCCGTGGGGTGCTGGGTGCCTTTGCTACCCTGGCTGAGCAGAGGAGGGTGGCAATGCAGGCAGGTGACGTGAGACACAGATACGGCGCGGCCAGCCCAGCACTCGCTGGTCTGAAATGGTATTTTTTAAGGCTAAACCTAGCCGTGCTCTGATTTTTGCTCCTGTAAAGCCTAAAGCCGCAGAGTTTTCCAGCTCTGAACACGACCCCCTACACCGTGACACTGTTTCTTTAACCTTACGTGCTGGCTGAGGACCGGAAACTTAAGGCCGGTTGTAAAGGCCAGCGGTGACAAGCTCTTCCCAGGGACCTCAGGATGCTGCAGCGATGCAGGCTCTGCGGACGTCGGTCACGAGGGGCTGACGGGGCAAGGGGGAACCCCAGGAGGAGCTTTCACATCTGGCTCTCACCGAGGTTACCATGGTTGGTCAACAAAACACCGCCTGAGCGCTTGTGCAACGACATAAATAAATCGAGTTATTCTCTACCCAACGAGAATGGATGGACAGAACTGGAAAACGTCCAGTTTCCCTCCAAGCCTGCCCAAACCAGAATGAAAACATCTGCTGACAGTACAGAATGGCATGTTGTCCGGCCGACCGCAGGCGGCACCACCTGGAGCCGCTGGCTCCAGACCTGAGGCTCTTCTGCAGGTTCATTTGTCTCCGCTGAGGTTGTGCCCGCATGGAAACCTGGGCCACGTCCAGCTGCGCAGGGAGGTGCCGTGTTACGGGATGAGGAACAGGCACACACCGTTCTGGGGGGCTGGGTTACAGCCCCACACCCCCAAGAAACAACACCTGGTAAGGCCTGGGACAGGATTCAGGCTGGACCTGCCGTTAGGCTTCATGCTGCCCAGTCTGGGGATGTTACGCAAGCCGTGCGGAAAATGCCTCGCATCGGGAATATGTGGAAGGAATGGGGCTCAGGACACATCAACAGTGCCTCATCAAGTACTTCTGCCCAGACAGGGAGGTAAGACTACTTTTCTTATTCCATAAAGATGAGGCAAAGCATCTACTCTTACACCCTGGGATCCTGATGCCATAAGATCTCTAATCCCTGCCTATGCTTTTGTCTCCTCTGGTCGCTTCTAGGAGTCCCTTCTTCAAGGTACTTTTCCCTCTGCTCTGGGGAAGGAGTTGCAACCTCTGCACCCAGATCCCGAGTCTTTTACAAGTTTTCCTTGATGTAGTGGCCAGGCCGTGGTCCTTATGACAGTATCTACTGTTATCCACACTGTCTTTACACAGGCCTCCACATTGCTTTTCTCTGATTACCCTGAGCTATAATCTCTAATAATCTCTTTTTATGCCTACTTGCCACCTAAAACTTCTCAAGAGTAGCACCAACAGTCTCAAGGATCCCTTCAGAGCAGCCACTCTTAACAGCTTTCCTGCGCGACGCTCCAAGCACTCAAAGCACCACGTCTTACCGGGAGGCACCTATCGGTGGGTTGGCCAGCCAGTTGGCACCTCTTACTACACCTGAGGGACTGGCAGTAGTTGACTGTTCTGTCGCTGCCTGCGGCATCTGAAAGCAACATCCCCTGCTTTGCACACAACTCTGATGTGCTGCTACTGATGCACCGGGTCCCCTAAGACTGGGAAATAAAGGGTTTGGGGATGTAAATCACTACTGAATGTACTTTACAGCTTTCCAGTCTGTACCTTATCTAAGGAACACGAATCCTGAGATCTCCTGGGTACGAATGTTTGGCTCTGGCCAAGACTGCGGCAGCTCACGCTCTCAGCTCGATGCTGCTCCCCATGTGCTGACCTACAGCAGGTCACTGCGCTGAGGGAGGCTGGATACTTCCAGGATTTGGACTGGAATAAGCCTCCAGTCATCTGGACAAGCTTCCTTTGAGAAAAGCAGTACGTAAGCTTACGGGCAAGGACAGTAACCACCACAGATCTTCATTAAAGGATTTTATCACAGAATCATAGAATCATAGAATGGTTTGGGTTGGAAGGGACCTTAAAGACCATCTAGTTCCCACCCCCCTGCCATGGGCAGGGACACCTTCCACTAGACCAGGTTGCTCAAAGCCTCATCCAGCCTGGCCTTGAACACTTCCAGGGATGGGGCATCCACAGCTTCTCTGGGCAACCTGTTCCAGTGCCTCACCACCCTCCCCGGGAAGAACTACTTCCTGGAATTCCTTTATGTTGGAGTTCAAGTTCCCACTTTGTGACAAGGAGAAGAAAACCATCAATTATGCTGGCAGCATCCACATTTGCAGAAATAATCTGATTACAGTGCAGATGGGATAGAATCATAGAATGGTTTGGGTTGGAAGGGAACTTACAGATCATTTAGTTCCGACCCCCAAAATCCACTAAAGAAGGCCTGACCTTGAAATTCTGAACATCTTCCTTCTATGAATATTAGGCCTCCTTATAAAGATAGCTGAAGGATGACTCTCAAAATGAAGAGATCTAAATCATTCTCCTTGCAAAAGCTAACTGATCTGCAAACTGGAAGGTTTCAGTGGTAATCCTAGTAAATAGCAGCATTTAATATTGGTCCTACAACTGGTATTACCATAGCAAATAAAAGAACTTTGTTTAATAGAAGACATCACATCCTGTTTATCTTCCTGCTCCATTATTTATAGATTATAATCTTCCCCTTGCAAAACTGTAAAACTGAACAGTCAAACAAAGATCATCTTGACTGCCAGTCTTGCTCAGTGTCAACAGGGACTCGTAAAGAGAGAATGTTAAAGGGCCAGAAAATTCCTGAAATGTTATTCAGTACTTCAGCTAAGCAAACAAAATCAGTTCTGCCAGTATCAACTACTCAGCTTCCCAAAGCCCAGGATTAGGACCACCGTAAGACTTTACTTTTAAAAAAGCCCCCCTCATTCAGAACTCTGTGTTGTCACAGAGGAGAAGATAAATCCCTGAAACCAGAAAATCATTATTAACACTATCTGGAACATTTCTGCTCAAATGAAGTGCGACTGAAGCTAAAACACTTCACAGAGAACTTTGTTTCACCTCTGGTTTTATTAGGAAAGGTTGCGTGTTCTAGAGCCCTTAATTCAGATAGATGAGAGACAGAGACCCCAAATAAAGAGAGTACTCATATTAAAATGCCAACTCTAAAAAATAGCTGTTTCTGCACAGCACCGTTTTGTGAATATTTGCAAAGGGCCTGGAATGAAAATCAACTCTGATGCCTCAAAAGTTGTCCAAAGTGGAACTGTTGGTCTCTTCTCCATTAAGAGGCATACACTGTATTTCTTTACACACATACCAAAACCACTTGATCAGAGAAACCTGACCTTGTTTCCTCACAGTTAATAACCAGGCCTCGCTACCCCCTGGGACTGCAGCAGAGCAAAAGAGATTGCAGAGGTTGGATACCCTGGATTGAGTATTTTAGGACTTACTCCGGGGTCACACACAGCTTTACTGTGCCAGGAAGCTGCACACAGAAGTGCCTTATGGTTCACGTAGCTCACAGCACAATAGCTATAAAATACAGCTTCACCTAACACTTCTTGCCCTATAAACTCTCCAGCTAAGAAACAGAGAGGACACATCCCCACAAGCGTGGTTCCAGCTTCGTCCCAAGAGGAGACGGTCAGCGTGGTCAAGCCGTGTGAGCCCACTTGCAGAGCAAGCGGCAGGAGGCAGCTCCGTCACGCACACCAAAGGGAATGGAAAAATGAAACTGAGGTCACAAAACACAGCGTACCCATTCTATTTTTAGATGTAAACGGTAAAATCTATCTTGCTAAATGTCTGCCTAAGAACAAGAAAGTTGCATAATCCCCACTCACCACTACAGGGTGTTTTCCTCAAATTAATCTCATTGTTTACATGAAAGCCAAGGGGGCTTGTTATTAGCCTTTATTTGTAAAGGTTAATGGAATACCTGCACCACGTTCACTACATCTGAAAGATCTGTTCTCCCCTGCAGGCAAACAGAAAGCAGGCTCCACTAAGAACTGTCACAAACCCATCACAGGAGCTGGAGAGCCTTTCCCAGTATTTGATCCTCAAAGTGTGCATGCTCCAGACTGAGACCTCTCCACGGAAACCAACGCAGAGAAGAACCGCTGACCCTCAAAGCCTACATGGCTAGGCGACCCCATTGGGTTATTTATGGAGAAGGAGGAAAGGGATGAGGCATGTTAGCTTTTCCTGATGACTAAATACCGGCTAAACCTCACGCACACAAGGTCTGGAACATCCACCTTTACAAAGCAGCTGCAGGCCTTTAGGCTGGCACCGCAAGGGAGAAGCTCCATTTTGCTCAGGAGCTGGAGCTAGGAGGAAGATCTCTTCAATGAAGAATGGAAGGAGGCACTGCAAGTGCCTGTTCTCTGCCCAGAGAAGCTGTGCATGGCCCGTCCAAAAGCTGTGGATGGCCCGGCCCTGTGGATGGAAGTGTTCAAGGCCAGGCTGGACGAGGCTTTGAGCAACCTGGTCTAGTGGAAGGTGTCCCTGCCCATAGCAGGGGGGTTGGAACTGGATGGTCTTTAAGGTCCCTGCCAACCCAAACCATTCTGTGATTCTATGATTTCTCACCCAAAGCAACCTGGATGAGTGAAATGTTCTCAGAGCTTGCAGGGATATTGGCATTTTCACCATGAGATGTTCCTGCAAAATGTTTTTTTGCACTAGAGGTGCTCATCATCTTCATCTCTTGCAATTTCTAATTATTGAAGATTCAAAACTGTCTCACGGAAGTAAGAGTCATATGCCTTTTTTTGGGTCAGCTGGGGCATGGGAATGTTGGAATCTGGATGGTTACGAAAGAAGCGTTTTTTCATTTTGGCTGTGGCTAACTGGTGCAACATCTAAGTCAGGTAATTTAAACCCAAATCTTTTGGCAGCTCAGACAGAGCAGCAAGTATCCACTCCTCAGCAGACCTTTGATTTTACATCACTGAGGTTAGTCTACTGTAATTTCAGCCAGGACTGCACAGGTATTTTGCAAGCAGAATTTAAAAACGCAGGCATGGTTTAAAATTTATGAGATTACAGGCTGAGGACAAGATTCCTCTCCCAGTTGCATTAGCATGGAATTATTATAGCTGACAAGAGAACCGGGCTGAGGGACACCAACTCAGAAACAGGAGGCAGAGGCAGGGACACTGCAGAACAGGGCACAACCAGCCAGTAGGGTTTTCCCCCATTGTCTTAAATATTTAAGGATATCCTTTAGTAGTCCTCAAGAAGTTAGAATTCAATTTAAGGAGTGAAATCGGAGGAAAAGGATCTTCTCTGACCCGCTCCAAAAAGCTAATTCCCCATGCAGTTTTGTATACCAGACCCTATAACCACCCTGCCCGCTGGGGAGAAGCTGAACGCTTCTGCATCCAGCTAACCCAGATCCTCAGTGGGCACCTAAAAGGGAGCTCTGCTGCAGCTTCACGGTTGGTCGTGATGGCCTTAAACGTCTTTTCCAGCCTGAAAGATTCCATGATCCTAACTCTAGTGTGCTAGTGGTGGTTATGAACAAGCAATTCCCACCTGAGCAGGTTCTGTTCCAAGTCTGCCGCTCCCCTGCCACGAGCACTACGCATGTGAGAGAGCGTGAGGAATGCCACGGCACCCACTTAAATGCTGCTGACGGGCACCGCCGGGAAAACCCAACGATGTCCCACTGAGGTTGGCATCTGAGGACAGAGTTTTACCCTTCGGACCGAAGAGACGCACTTTTACCACTGTGCAGGTTGTTTTGCCGGCCACCCCAAGGCCTCGGCGTTATGTCCACGTGGCAGCAATTACAAGTGGTCAGGCAAGGCTGAGCCTACAGTATCTGCACTCTAACCGGAAACGGGATGCAACATACTGGAAAAGGAAAGGAAGGGAGGAATGGGAAGGCAGAATGGGAGCAATAGCAATGGGTGACATGAGTGCACACCAGAATCCTTCAAAGTTACTTCAAATCCTTTCAAATGCCTCTTAAAATAAGCAAAATCAGCTGTTCCCAAGGCCTGGGCTGTGTGTATCGTTATTTCAGCAACAACAACTCATGTGTTTCATGCATAAAAATCTGGCAATTATTCACAGAGTGGCTAAGAGAGCCCAATCCTCTGATGCCTTCCTTCCATAGGCACCTCAAAGGCTGCAAATGTTTGGAGCCTGGCGGCTCACTTATCTTGGAGCCACATAGCCCTGATAAGGAGGAGAAGTTACTTACGGTGGTTCAGCTGATTATGGAGGAAGTCAGCAAGGGAACAGCTTACCAGGCTGCTTATTTCAGGAAGGGCATTTTTTTGTTTTCCTAATCCTCCTCGAAGCTTTTATTTTTTTGGAACCTAAAAGCTTTTTAGAGAAGCTGCACACCCTCTAAGCCTCCACACTGAAGATCTGAAAGCTTTTTTCCAAATCAGAAATGGCAGAAGTACAAAACTCAGCGAGTCCCCCTGAATTTGCGGAGGCTGACGTAACCTTTTTCCAACAGCATGCTTTTTGGTGTGACCTGGTATCCTTCTTATCCTCCCCCCTTATGTTGGGAAGGGATATCCTTACAGGCTCAGTATCCCTCCTCTGAAAAGCATTAACAATTAACAATTCTGTTTACATTGTTTGAAATTAATGTGTTCATTCCAAATAGTAGTTAATTATGCATAACTACTATTATATAGTTTTGCATAATAATAATCCAACTCACCCTTTGTCCCATTTTTGCCAGGAAAATGATAAACTTTTCACTTAACATCGTTAATCATCATGAAAAAAGGGACGCTGCTTGGGTCTGGTAATTGTTTAAGACTGCATTAATGATCACTGCAAAAGGACGGAAGGATTAAACTCATTTCGAGCTCAGATTTACCAAATCTTTTTAATATCTTCACAAGCAGATTTGTTCACAGTGATGCAGAGCACCAGCAACATCTACTTTCAGTCTTAGTGTAGAGTTTTAAGACCTTTTTTTTTTATCTTTTTTTATCTTTACCCAGAATCACATGGTAAAATGACCTCAGAGTTGGATACTACCCAGAAGCTGTGTATTTTGTTACCTGCAGCATCCACCTCATCGCTACTTGACTGACTACCCTCAGCCCAAACCAAAATGATGCTGCTTTAGATCTCACCTGAAGGAAAGCAAAGAGTAATCAGAGGCCAAGTGCTACGAAGGTGTTGAATTCAGACATTCTCAATGCTGGAAGTGACTGTGAACCCCCGCTTTTGCCTTAATTTTCTGGGCTTTCTGTTGCCCAGCTGGAAAGAGACTTTTATGAGGAGAGAAAGTCTGCCACCTCTACGGCTCATACTAGCTCACCTTGAACACGTGGAATGCTTCAAACTGAATGTTGGGGCTTTTATCTCGCAGCAAGTTCATCATCAGCTTCAGATTTTCTGGTTTGCTGATGTATTTTGTCATGATGGCAAAGTTGTGTCGGTCCAGAATCAATTCACCCAGCAGCTGGAGACACAATTACCAAAAAAAAAAAAAATCCCGTTTTTTTCAGTTCACCACATTATTTTTGAATGCAAAGGAAGCAGCAACACATTCCAACATTTGCCTAAAAAGCTTCATTGTCCCTACCTTTTTAAAAAGTAGTAACCAGAGTTGTTATCATGCAGTCAGTTACTTAACGCCCAGCAATGTTCATCATCTAAATACTACAGGGAGGGATCCCACATATGGGGTGGGTGTGGTAGGAGCTAACTAGGACAGAATCAAGTGCAGTGCAGCTGCCCCACAGAGACACCTTTTTTTCATCTGGATGTTGTATTAACACAACTATCTGGTCCCACCTGCAGGTCAGGTCAGACTCGGTGCTGTAGCAGCAAGCAGCACCAGACAGAGACTACTATCACGTTACTCTCACGTTCATTTTAAGCTACGTTCTGAATCAAAGTACAGACTGGAGGTCAGAGGAAAAATGACAGTGCCTGTTCCATAGGAACGGCCCAATGCTTCACCAGAGATCCAGGAGAGCAAAGGCACAGCGAGCTCTGGCGTATCATAAGAAGAGCATGCCAAGCACTTATTTCTTTGTTGTTAGAATGTACACGGCTGCTCCGTTGCCATACATGCATCTGGATATTCTGCGTAATGTGGAGTTCAAATTTAGAAGGAAAATACTGAGAGACTTGACTTTACCTTCAATGATTGTCTCTTTGTTACATAATTCTCAGAATGAAGGAGTTTTTCATAATCCTCAAAGATCTAGAGTAACAAGAAAACACAAATGCATCTGATTCACGTCCTTCCCACCCCAGAGGAGCAGCAGAGGCCACAGCAGTGCCATCCTCCAACACTTCACTGCAATGCCAGGCCCAGCTCTCGTGCCCGTTTTTTCTTGGCTGGATATCATGCAGTGAGTTAATGCCCAGGAACACTTCTCTTCCAAATACTGCAGAGGGGGATACCACATATGGACTGGATGTAACAGGAGCTGGTGTGAGCCAAGTAGGACAGAAGTAAGCTGATGCCTGTACAGCCTTCTCTTAGGGGAGGGTGAATCTGCTGCCAGGACACGTGGGTGATAACACCCACTCACTCATACCACGGTCATGACTTTCTGTGATTTAATACAATACCCCAAACTGGTGCCAAAAGCTCCTTTTGTGAAGTGCCACCTCACCTGCCTTCAGTACCCTCCTCACTCCTTAAAGCCCTTTGCCTGACGAGGGTCCCTGGGAGCTTAGCCCATGCTGGCTTTGGCAGGATTGAGCCAAGGGAATCTTATGATCAAGAAGACTAAGAGAGAAGCTATGATATGTTCAAACCATCTACCAAACGAGCAAAAAACCCCAACACTGCTGTCTAAGAATCGTCTAAAAAAATGCTCACTTCCACGATCTATACTTATAAATTGTAAATGTTAAATAAATGTGGAATGGGGACTGTTCCAGTGCACTGCTTCAGTATGAAGAGAGATTAGCAGAGACACTAATTTTGTTCCAGTTAAGCTGCGTTTGTGACTCAGCAATAATAAGCCTGTTCTTTATTTAACTTTCATGGTAACTCTAGAATGAAAGAAATAGTCTTTGGCCTTTTCACTTTGGCAGTGAAATAAAGAATAATTCAAGCAACGTGAGAACGTAACCTGTAGTCTGATTCCATGATCCAGATCAGTACAATTTTAGTTGATTCTAATGGAATTTTTCTGACCCACATGGAGCCAAAATTCAAAGTGAAAAATGGCAGCAAACCAAGGGACTAATTGACTCAGGATGGTAAGAGGAATACTCACACATCAGTCCCCCATGTAGGTATGTTTAATTTCCAGTAAAGCTAACACTTCTTCCAGTAACTCTTCTCCTCTGTCCCAGAGTATTATAAGTAACACCCGTATGGCCCTATTGGTGCTGGAATATCACAGATTCACAGTGATAGGAGATGGAAAGGACCTCTAGAG